ACATGTTATCAACAGCAAATTATTGTGATATGAACAGGTAATATCTTTACCTTTCAGCTCTAAAAACCCACCCCTTTCTCTCTAAACTGAGGACTCTTCAACCCTGAAAACTTCTGAACAGCACCTAGAATCACATCCAGACTGCACAGGATCTTGAATGACAAACAATTAATGGTAAAAGCTAATAATTCTGCATCTGACTGGCCTACACAAGACCTACAAGGAGAATTCGAGCAGTATTGGAGCATTTGCTGATAGGGTAATTATGAAATAACACATATACAAGTTTGTTCATCTCAGAAGACAATCTCATTCTGACTGTGATTAGAAAAACAATGGGGGATCACACCTCTAACAGATTTTTGACTGGTACTCTTGAGCAGCTTGTGCTCCACAGGCTTCCTCTAAGAGTTTAAAAGAAAGCAGAAAAGTTGTTAAAAGTAACAAAGAACTGTTTTGATCAATAACAGAATATTGTCTTCAGCTATATAAGTGTTTAAATCCGAAAAAGGAATATGGAAGAAAAAAACTGAGCACAAGGCTCAGTCATGAAATGAAGAGGAACAACATGTACCAATTTCAGGTCACAAGGGCTGGGATCAGAACTGAAAATTCTGGGATGCAGCACAAGATCTGTGCCAGTTCCTGGGCTGACAGCACATCACATCATCTCTGCTCAAGGCAGTGTGTGAACAGTTTATTTCTCACAGCTTGTCCTATGAGCTCCTCTCTTTCCTCATCCAGCATTATCAAGAACATCTTTCTGTTCTCGACAACAGCAGTGTCAACATTTTATTAACATGTGTAAATATTATGGAGGCTTAAACATTCACACATGCATAACCTTCAGTAGGCTGTTTCTATTTACAACTGCTTATTTAAATTCCTTCCTTTAGCTACAGAATTCTCTCTGCTAGTCCCATCTGCCATGCAGGGAGGAGAGCTCCTTTGGTCCTTTACTGCTGCAAAATTCTGATCCACCTTTGCTTGCCTGAGGTGCCCTTTCCTCACTGAAGATCATTTGAGAAAGCACCATTTCAGGAGCTGTCTGGTTACCCACCCTCGAGTAACTTCAGTTATCACTGAGCAATGTCACAGGCTGGAAGAGATGAGTGTTTGTATCTGACAAGCTTTGGCAGACCCAGCAGCAAGAGAACTGAGCAGGCTCTAAGCCAGGCTCAGGTAATCCCTGCTCCTCTGAASGCTGGAGTTCTGGGGTGTTCTGGGTGTGTCAGAGGCACATGTTAATGGGCACATGTCAGAAACACTTTGGGAGAAGAGTTCAACAGGAGCTGACAGGTACAGAAATACCAACAGCATGGGATGGAACACAGGGTACAGGAAAATGGGGAAAAGGAGCACTGAGAGGACGAGCAAGGCAAATTTATAGAGACAATCTCTGCAAATGCTGCACACTCACCAGGCATGAGCTTTACCTGCCCAAAAGACACAATTCATCAATGCTGKGCTGACCTCAAACTATGAACTCCACATTCAGTAGGTCTGGATTAAAAACTTAGTACGGAGTCAGAGCTGGCTCCTCTCTGATGAATGTTGGAGTCTTGGACATTTGCTCACATCCATTTTGGGAAATACTGTAGCATCCTCCAGCTCTCAGTTCACCACAAACATGAGTAGCTGTATTTCAAATTTAGGTTAGTAGAACTTCCTTGTATTTTTTATGTCCAACAAATGAATGGGCCAACTCGTGGTAAATGGATAATGCTTCTGAAAAAGAAAACTGTTCTTTTAAGTTTCTCACTATTCAAATATTTATTTTTTAAAAAAGTTTCCTTCAAAAYGATCAGATTATAGTCTAAGTACTAATGTGATATATCTGCAGACATTTTTTAACACTCAGTTGTAATACTTCAATGTTGATCTCCTCTCTCAGTCAAGCATTTAAATCAGTGACTTGACTACAATCTGAACAGGGAAATTTCTTTTTTTCCTGAGGTTACTGCCACATCCTTTCTTACAATACAGGAAAGGAGAAGGAAAGCAGTCTGCAACATGCTTTGTACAATTTGCAATACCCCRTTAATTCCACCTAATGCTTTCTTTTTAAAATTAATTCATCTTATTTTCCACCATGACAAGAAATGCAAGAGCTGCTCTCCCAAAATTCACAATGTGTTGCGAGAGATTTTAGTACTGGAGTGGGGATTAATGGTGGAACACAAAAGAAGGAAGAGGTTTAAAGGCAGGCACAGCTTTGTGCTGAGGAAGGAAAAACCTCCCCTAAGCATCACAAACAGGAGATGCCMCTGTCCTTCTGTCTGCCCTCGAGTGTTCTTTTACAAGTGTTTTATGTGAAGATGGAAAGTAACAGATTACAAATGGTTTAAGGTAGATTAAGAAGACAAATAATGTTTGGAATGCATGCAGACCTTAACTGAATTAGTGATGTAATACAGCAAGTACCTCAAACCCCACTCTGAACTCTCTGAAATGACCCCTCCTGAGTCCATGCCTTATCTGCCTTGTGACATGGAAAAACTTGCTTCCCATGTTGTTTAGAAAAWGGAATTTTACACTGAGGGAGGATTTGTTCTCCACAGAGCCTGTCCCAGAACCCTGGAGGGAACAGATCCCCCAGCACAAAGCACAGGAGATTTGATAACTCTTGATCACTCAGCAAAGAAACCCCTCAGGGATTGTTTTGTTTTGCTTCCCATGGCAAACAGGGATTTGGACCAGGCACATTTCCTCTTTGAGAATGTACAGTGTRTCCTCCCCAGCATTATCCATTTCACACTTTATTTCATTCAGACAACAACCATATGGCCCCRTGATTTATTTCACCTGAGCACCTTGTGTTGTTCCAAAATTCCTCCTTAGAAGACTCTGATTTCTGTTAAGGACACACACTGATCTACCATGAGATGGATGGAACATGGAATAAAAATTTGAAARTCCTTTTCCCAAGTAAAAACTGCTACAAATGTTAACTCCTCTGCTGTTTTRCTTTTAAATTTTCACTTCCTGTCAGTCACAAGGCCTAGAGTCTCACCAATGGCATAGATGCTTCTAGGGCACTTAAAACAGCTTTAAATCATGTATTTTTCAGTCAGCCTGCTGCACCTTTGGTTGATACAGTTCTCTTCCTCTGTCAACAACAAAAATTGGATGATATCGTGTGGTTATTGCCCCAATTACACCTGCACAGCCTGTCAGGGATCACATCTCACCGTGTGGGAGCCACCACCTCCTTTCACAGATGAGCTCAACAGGAACAGAAATGCTGTGGCTCTCAGAAATCTGCTGCTGTGATGAAGATCTCRGTCCCTGTCAGTCAGACACAACTCCTCACAAACATACTTGGGGTTTACTCACAGGTAAATCATCACAGCAACTACAGAGCCCCCCTGGCAAAGGGATAAAGAAAGATTTCCTTATGTGAAACTCAGTGAAATGCAAAATGCTAGGTCAATCAACCACTGAAAAGGAAAGGTGAAGAACAGCCCTATCCCCAATTTCCAGCTGTACACTCATTTCCCCAGAGTCACTTTTTCCCCATGCTATGGATCCCTGTCAGGTTTTACCTGKGTCAATTGGCTCCCTTTACCTGCAGCAGCTGCTTCCTGTGGCCAACAGGCTATAGCTGCAAAGTCCAGAAGTGCAGAAAGACAAGTGTAAAATGAACTTTAACTGGGCAAACTRTGAGCTTTCAAATGCATTTCCCCACCAAAACAAAGCAGAGCCCATGGGTACATGGAGAACCATTTCTCTGAAGATGAGCAAACTCTGTSCCAGTCTCAGTTTCCGTCCTGCAGCCCTTTCAGTTGTGGAGCTGATCAAAACAAGGTCACAATGATCTCCTCCTCTCATGAAAAAAGTTCCTTTTTCATTCTTCTTTTCTGGGAAACAGGTGAGTTGGTTTTGTTCAAACGTTGAGCATTTTAACAAAGATCCCTTTGAAGGTCACCCTTGAAAAGTGGAGGCCTAATGGGTTTAAGTTTCAAACAGTCTGGAAACAGGAGGTGAGAATCCAAAAAGCCCAAAAAGCTTTCAGACAATGTTCAGCGCATCTGTGAGAATCTTAAACTGTGTGGAAACAACAAAGTGCTCCAAAATGAACTTGTTACTTCTTGTGGRGAAGAAAAATAAAAGAAACAAAGGAAGTAACAGTGACTCAAATTCACAGTTGAGGAATAATTGGCTCTTCCATCTCTGTCTGCACAGGTAAGGAACACACAGACATTCCAGAGAGGAATGTGTGTAAAAAACCCAGCAAACATCCCCAAACCCCAGAGAGCTGCTCCTCCTGCCCTGCTCCAGGGAAGGCTGACACCAGAGTCAGAGCAATCCCCCTTTGTCCTGCTCAGTTTCTAACCCCAAAGTGTTTAAATTCAGTATTTTCTGTGCCAGACAGCTCCAGAACAASACAGAAGGGCTTTTGTATTCTTGCCAAGTGAAAAACCAGCATCAACATCAAAATCCCACCTCACAGAACAGGTTGGACCATGTTTTCCTTCTTGTAGAAAACTTGAATCCAGTGTTTAGTATTTCACTGGAAAGTGAGGGCTCAGCAGAGAGAATATTGCTAAAGTGAGGATAACACATGGTGCATGCTCTCAGTTRCTCATTTCTGTGCGAGTCAARAAYCCCAGAGAGCAGTTTAAACAAATCTTGACATGCCTCTCACACCCAGAAATGGGATTCCTCCTGCAATGGCCTTGGGCATGAACATCACAGCACCTTCCCCTCGTGTCCAGCCTCCTCCCACTTTCTTCTGTTCACTCACCAAAAACACACAGATATTTGTATCTTTTTTTAACTCTTAACACAGTAAATCACCTTTCAGAATATTGTGAACTTTCCATAACAAGGGCAAACAAGTTATGGGATCCATTGTTTCAGGTTTTAGAAAGCATTCTTAAAAACAAACGGAAAGGAAGACAGATAYCAATTATTTCTCTGAAAAGAGTTARATGTAAATSTAAAACACCTCATTTTGAATGGACACAGATTTGTGATGGGTTTATAACCAMACATACCTTTGTTTTCAGCTCAGCACAGATCTGCAGCTGTTTTTGCCTGGAATCAGCCAGCAGCACTTGTGCCTCGTGGGCAGCAGAGGCTTCAGCAGCAGCAGCCACAGCTCTCAGGACAAAGGCTCGGCTTTGCTGAGCCCAGCTTAACAGCAGCGCTCTGCGCTGGCTGCGGATGGAATGGACAGCAGCCTGAGCCTTCTCCTGAGCGACCTGCCAGAGGAAAGAGTTTGAGAAAGGCTGGAAAATACAATGCAATAATTGCAGGCGTTTCTGCAAACCCTGCATATCATTAATTTATATAATGAATTTTATTTTACCACCAATATTCCCACAGAACCCACAGCACAGGGCAGTGCACTCTGCAGTGTGAGGGATGGAACCACTGCAGTGTCCTGGGCAGAGATTGCCCTGCAGTGAGACCCT